CCCCCAAAAAAAGTGTATTTATTATTTCATTAACAAAATATTTATTTTTTACTTTTTTAATTAGTTATTTAAATTATTTTATAAATTTTAGTTTTTTGTTACATTTTAAAACAATATTTGTTTGCTCATTTTGCATACACAATTAGTGAGATCACTAGAGTTTGTCTGCTACTGGCTAAGTGTAAATTACCGTTTTTGCAATTCTCTTTTTCTATCTGCAGACCACAGAGCAGCGCCACAAACGTGAGCAACTGAATGAGAAGCGGAAAGCTCTGCTTGAAGCTCGACTTGCTAAAGTGAGGATGAGGAGGATGAAGACAAGCAAGCCGGGGCCAGGGGATGAAGAAGAGGGTGTGTTGCTGAACATTAGTTATTTAGTTAATAGTTCTTATATGTATCGGTGAGGAATTCTAAGGCATATGTGGTTGTTTTTGGATCATGTCTAATGTTCTGCTGTAGCTGCTGCTGATGATGCTGAGAACGATGAAGATGATGATGAAGGTTTGGTTGGACCTCCAGCCCCTGCTACAGTGCGGAAAGTAGAAGTGGAGATTCAAGAGAGAAAAGACACCAAACCTGGCGTTCCCCACGTAAGAGAGTGGGACAGAGGCAAAGGTACACATAAATGGACGTCATTCCTTTTTTTTTTTTCTTTTTCTTCATTTGCTCTAGTGTTTACATTTGCTTTTTTGAAGATGCACAACTTAAGCATTTATTTCCTTTTCCAGAGTTCTCCTGGGGTCAGTGGACCAGTCGTCGTAGAGAGGAGCGAGACTCAGAGTTTGCTCCTCCTCCTACTTATTACACAGATGACAGAAAGGCCAATCACAACAGAGCCATATACAAAGGGCAGAGCAAAGGAAACCTTGCCTTCAAGTGGTCTGAATCCCAAAAGTCCACAGACGGAGACACAGAGTGCATATCTACCACTAGACAACCTTCTGACATACCCACATGTGCACAACCTGCTCAAACACAGAGTCTGGATGACCTGTTATCGTACTACAAACACTCCACGTGAAAGTTCAAGTCTGAAAATCATTTGGGGAAACTAAGGGATGTGGCAAGCTGCATCAGTCTGGATGCATGTCAGTCGTAAGCAGCAGGAACAGTAACATTTTGTACCAAAATGTAACTGAATTGCAAAGTTAGAATAAAGAATGACCAGATTTTTGTTTGATTTTTGTGCATCTTTTATTCCATCACTATCTATTGTTTCAACAGCTTTCTTAACCATAATTAATTTAATTTGCTATCAGTTTTTTTCAATGGGCTGTAAACAACAGAAATCACTGTTGTACATAAAATTATGTCAGTTGAACATGATAGATGGTTTAACTAAAGTGACACTCGAAATGTTCTCTTCATCAGTTTTCCTGTTCTAATGAAGTATTTTGTGTTTTTTGTTAAATTATTTGAAATGCAGGCAAATTAAATGTGTTTATGCATGTTATGAACACTGGGCAAAGTTTATGAGTAGCACCTGACTGCAATGCAACTGCTTGGTTACTCAGTAGCCTGTAATGAGTTGCTTTACTAGTTACTTAGTTCACATGCAATGTGTGCATGTGTATTCCATATGTCATTTGAAAGAAGACATTAAATAACGGATACAATTTTGCGAACATCCAAATCACAGGACCAGGGTGACCCTTGATCTGAAGGATATCCTGTCTCCGCAGGAATGTATGTGTGAGCACTTTGTATCAACCAGAGAGAGAGCAAGGAAGGAAGGGAAATAGAGAAGAAAATTGTGGTAAAGAAGAGAGAGAACAGAAAAGTAGGTTTCATATGGAAGATTGAGGGACAGTTCTGCTTTTAGTTTTCTCATATTTCTCTCTCTCTCTTTTTTCCTTTTGAAGATTAAACCAAAGTAGGAAACCATTTGAATGCCAGGAAGATGGTAGGTAACTATTTCTGGTTGTGATTATCACATGATCATGTAGTAACATGCTGTTCAAATATCTGCTGTTTGTAGTCAATGTTACATTTGTAAATAAATATCATGAAATGTAGTTTTACAGCATTTATTAATGTTTAATTATATATAATTATGTATTACATATATGCATATTTTATAAAATATGATCATTTGTAAATATACTGTTTATTGTTCATTAATGTTCATTCATAATGCCTTACTGTAAGTAAATAACTTAGACTGTAAAAAATAAATATACTGGAATATTATTATTACCTCAACAGATTTAAGCTTTTTCAAATTTCACAAAGATATTTGCTAATAAAACCCCCTTGAGTGATTATAAATAAATGCAAGCATTTTTGACTTAATTCTTTCATAGTGGGTAAATGAATGTGTCTGTGTGAGTGTTTTAGGAAGGTTCAAGTGCAGAAGCAGAACTAAGTGTAAGCGTGAGCAGCATCAGAATCACTGACGTGACTCAGGATGGAGACGTTCTGACATTTGCCATCGCATCCCAGAAAGTAAGACGCCTAATAAATGCATGTTTTAGATTTGTGGAATTTGTGGAATGTTAAAATATCATCCGTTTTTTCTCTCTCAGTTGAACAGCAGTGCTGGGGTTTGTGTTTTTCGAACATATGAGGACTTTGACTGGCTTCAGCAGAGTCTTTTCTCACAAGAAAATCTTCCTGGACTTCATGGAATTATAGTGAGTGAATTCTCTAAAACTCACAATTAAACATCATTGCTTATTAATTTTCAAAAGTATCAGATCTATGAATGAGGAAGACATTTCAATGAGAAGATTATTCCCACAGTTTCCGCCTTTGCCCTCTAAAGCACTTCCATCACAGTCAAACACGCAGACCAAAGCACTCAAACAACTTGGTATGTATTATTTGTATATGCACAATTTAGACAAGATATATCTGCATAATTTTAGTATGGTAGTGTTTTTTTTTTTTTTGGGTAGATGCCATTTGGTTTGATATTTTGTTTCTTATGCATTATACATTTTCTGTATATGTGTTCAGGGTTCCTGGCTCTAGGACAGGCTTGGAAGAGTTATTGTAAGGCTTTGGAGTTTTATCTCCAGCAGGTGGCAGAACACCCAACTCTCTGCAAGTGCAAAGCACTGGACAGCTTTCTTATTAACTCTGAGGTTAACTATGAACATACACACACACACACACATTCATTAATTAAAATTCTGCATCACAGCCTGTTGTATGATTGCGCTAAAGAAAAAACAAGAGAAAAATTTAGCTAAAACCAACTGAAAGTAGCAGATGGTAGCTGGTTTCTAGCTGGTCATTACCTGAGCCAAGGTCGTTTAGGTGGTTGACCAACTAGATTATAAGATGGCAGATGGAGACCTGGCTAACATGGTTGCCAATCTTGGACCAGCAACAAATTAGCTACTATATTCCAAAAAGAAGTTTGACCACCTTAAGCTGGTATGAGCTGATTTGTATTTCAGCAGTGTTTGTGACCAATATGTTTTCTATGGTATATGTTCACCATACACTCTCAGGAAAAAAAGCTGTCACTGGGATGGAACTCTTTCAAAAGGTACTAATATGCAGGAATAATAGGGGTAAATAAAGTATGGAAGTGTGACAGGTTTTGTGAGAGTGTATGAGGATTTTAACTGGATTCTCCAGCATGGAGAAAAACTTGGCTAGAAAAGCCTTCTCTTTATATTGTTTGTTCATTTTAATGTCAATTTTGGGGGAAATGTGATGAAATCATTGTTGACAATCTTACTTTTGTCATTGTGTGTATTTTATTTGTATTTTTTTGAGTAGTCTCCTGGAAGACAGCGAGGCAGGAAAGGAATCTTTAATCGCCTCAGTCAGGCTGTGGAGGAGATGAGGAAGGAAAGTCATAAGGTGTGTGTGTGTGTGTGAGTGTGGGTTTATGAGTACATTTGTTGTTCATGTGAGTGGTTTATGCACCTCTGGGAAAGTTTTTTGTACCAAACACAGCAATGTGTAGTGACATATGATATATGACAATACAAACATCATAGATCTATTAAAGCAATTTATATCACATATGTAAATATATAATTTAATACCCCAGGATGTGGACAACTTCTTTCAGAACGAGAGAAACAAAAACACTAACCTTGCTGCTTTGTCAAAGGTTGCCACTGAGGTACACTATTTAAGCTGTTTTTTTCAGTTTCTATTTGGCCAGTGGACTGTCATTTTATAATACATTGTGCAATTTTGTGTTCTCCTCGCAATAGAAATTACTTGATGTTGTGATGACAGAGCAAAGTAAGTCATTTCAAGAAGTTTATATGCATGCTCAGTACACCTTATTTAGGAATGCAGTAGGCCTATATATGACTGTGTGTGTATGTTTTACAGAGCTTGCTTTGGCCTGTGGACATTTATCCACATCTCTTCATCTTTGTGTGAATCAGGACGATGCAGCTGCTGTAGCTTTCTCCAAGTTAGAATTTACTAAATAAAATGACCATTTCTGTCTGCGTTAATGTGCACACATTGAATAAAGAGAGAATGTGTGAGTGAAATGCATGTTTATGTGAATGTTGGTTATGCGAGGATAATCAGATTTTGTGTTTCTTTAGGGTTTGTTTGAAACTGTCAGATATTATTGAGGCAGTAAAGGTAAGGCCACTTTACATGCAAAACTTTAAGCACAGTTGAAGGGCTCTTGGCCATTCCTGTATTTATACAATTATTTAATACTACAATTTTTAATTTTATTTATTTATTTGTTACTTTAGCGAAACTTTGAGAAAGTTGGCAGTAGCAACCTGTCCACTTTGGGTTTGGGTCTGGACCTGGCGTCTCGCTACCAAGAGGCAGAGAAAGTATGTTTTACTCAGTGTGTCAGCACAGCTGTGATTGTGTACTATTGCTTCTATACAACATTTAATACAGAGTATTACTTACCTTTTAGATACAGTCTAACCAGTTACTTTGTCTATTTAATTTTTTTACTTTATATATTTTTTTTCCACCAGCAAAATTCTTTTGTTCTGGTAACGAAAAAGAATTAATTTGAAGGAATCAATTTTGAATGATTCAATATGACACTTCAAAACACTTCAAAGTCACTTGTCACCACCTTTTGTGACAGAAAAAGTTCTTAAAAATGCAGTCACAGACCAGTGTTATTTTAGTATCACTGAAATAGTTTTTATTTAAATATTTTACATTTGTTTCTATTTTTATATTTTCCATTTTCATTATAGTTAAAGATTTAATAATTTTATTGTTTTCCTCATTTTATAATTTTTTTAAATTGTTTAAATATTTTTTATTTGAGTTTTAGTTGTTTTAGTATATGAGGTTAATCTAATAAAAATGACCCATTTTGCCTTTGCAACTACCTGAAATAAAATATATTGTTATATATTATTTTATTTCAGATGACATTAATTTTATTTCAAGTAATGAAAATGTTTTTTTATGGTTTTAGTTTTAGTTAACTATAATAACCTGGTCACAGAGTGATACTTTGTCCGAAACTCGCAAACACAGACAAGCAGAGTGCTACAATGAAAATCTCAGTGCTGCTGTATATCAGCACTCCGCACAATCAAATCCAACAAGTGGAACTAAACAAAATGTATACACTTTGTCTACAAAATTAATTTTAAACATTTAAACATAAGCCTTGAAACAAATGGGTCTAAACCGCTCGTATGTAGCCTATGTAATAAATTATATTGATTGCAGATTTGTATAAAAATGAATGAAAATTGACTCAAGACTTCTTTGAAAGTAATTGTCCATTTCTACTTGTGTTGTTAAAGGAAATGCTCTTCAGAAGAACCTGTAAACTGATAGAGCTGGAAACAGTTAAAAAGAGTACTGAAAAAGCCAAGGCCAATAAGAGAGAAGTGGTATGTATTAATCTGGTTATCTACCATTCATTATGGCTACACGCATGTTTATCTGGTAAATTCAGATGAAGTCTTTCTGTGTCTGATACTGTAGATGGAAGCGTTTCAAAAAGCGGTTGAGAAAGAGTTCAGCCTGATCTCATCTGTGGCTAAACAAGAGGTAAAAACTGTGACTGAAGTTAAACCCAAAGAAGGTTGTCTACTAAATGTGTTACCAGAGTTGTTACATTGGAAATTTGAACAGCCTTATAACATGACCTCTTGATCTGAACATCAGATTCACATTGTACATTTATAGAGGATGTAGTATAATTATTGGACTAATGTCTGGCAGATTGAGCGTTTCCATAGCTCCCGAGTGAATGTGCTGAAGAACTT